CTTGAAAATTTCTCAGCTTAAGAAAGTAGTGGTTAATTGGTCTTTATATGTGGTATACTGTATATGTGGCAATTTAGGTTAAATCCGTGAAACATGATGCAGGAGTATGCACAAGTGGGTTAAGCTTGATAGCTTCAAGTGTCTCCATGACATTCTTTGACCCTGCCACTCCCAATATCCTCTTGAGCCATTTTCACTGTTCCTGGACTCCTCAGTCCCCTTATGCCATTAGAAAATTTATTCCTATCAAATCCTTTGCAGGGTCACATCTGTCACCTTTTTCTTATTTAACATTTACCAGCACCATTGACCTGCTTTGCCACAGGGGCATGTTGCTGGCTCACGTTCAGTTTCCTGTTCACCAGGACCACCAGGTCCTTTTCTGCCAAGCTCTTCCCAGGTGCTGGACTTGGCACTTCCCCTTGCACTTCATGAGGTTCCTGTCAGCACGTTTGTCCATCCTATTGCAGTCCCTCTGGATGGCAGCACAGCCCCCTGGCATATCAGCCACTCCTCCGAGTTTTGTGTCATCAGCAAACTCGCTGAGGGTGCACTCTGCTCCACCATCCAGACTACAAACAAAGATGTTAAACAGGACTGGACCCAGTATCAGCCCCTGGCACACACCACTAATTACTGGCCTCCAACTAGACTTTTGTCACTCGTCAGTCACCACCATCTGGGCCCAGCCCATGGTGATGTAAACAAACAATGTCCACAAGGGCTGCTGGGGAGTTACCTTGTCTCAGAGCTGTCCTCAACAGCGTTGGTGTAACTTGCACTGTCTGATGAAACCAGAGATTTCACTTGGGCTTTCAGGCACTTAAACACATCTTCCTTATCTTCTGCACCGGTAAGTGAAGATTTCAATTTCATCAGCAAGGACAAAGGTTTTTAGAATCAATAACTATTTTTGTTTTAGTATCTTACATGAAGCTCCTATGAACTTTTGTGTTGTTTAGCTAATAGCTTTCAAATGGCCATGTTCAATCTCTCTCAATAGTATGCTGGTCTTGTACAACTTTTTTTGATCATCCATTCTGACCTCTGTAGCTCTCGCAGTCATTTCACAGATTCAGTCAGAAATCAGTTTTTGGAAAAGCAGATTTTCCAGCAGTTTTTCTAATATATTGTTCTAATGGCTCAGAGCTGAAATGACTACATGGTACATTCTTTTTACTTGGCTTTCTCTATCTTCACCTCTCATCCACTGGGTTTTCCTAGAACTTCATCTACTTGCCAAAGAGCCCATGATGTGTTTTCTGTGGGTACTTTATTGCTATCACCAGGTCATCTCTCAATCTCCTGCTTGAACAAAACAGTTGGAACAACTGGAATCGCATTTTAAAGCTGTTTTCCAGTCTCGGGGTGATTCTGGTGGCTCTCTCCTGAATGCTCCACAATTTATCGACATTCTTTGTGAGTTCTGGACAACAGGATTTGTACCGCAGTCCACTAACAGTAATACCAGTATCTCCATGAGACACAGAGATAGCGTAGCACCAGATAGTCCTTGTTTTGTTTACTCATTCATGGATTGTATTAACATGAGATGAGCTTCAGGAACAGAAGCAGCTAAGGAAGTTTCTGTGTTCTTCAGCTTTCCTCTTGGTTTCTGAATAAATCTACCCATAGCCAGAATTTAGGGACTATCATCTGCTCCTGCACCACCTTCCCATCTCTTGGCAGTGGGTATGAAGTTGCTCAAGTACACTTAGACAGAAAATGGAATTGCAAAACAAGAGCCCTTATGTGTTGCCCCAATGCCAGTTTCAGCTTATGCTCCGTAGAGGTGTGTCAGCTTTTAGGCAACGCATGTACACAGTGCATATGTTCAGCACATCCATGTATTATTGGTTTTAAATACGTGAACTGTCCTCAGCTAGTCTGCTACGAGGTGGGGTTTTCTCACTGTGGAGCCATGACCTGAATTCTCCTGCATAATGGAGCAAATTCCATCGAACTGGTGGAAGGAAATGTTCTGTAGCCAGCAGCTTTGTGTTTAGCTCATTTCCCTGGGAATGGGCAGCTCAGCTCACTCTTAGCACCCTTCTGCAAGGTTTAGGTTTTCTGAGCCTCTTAACCTTATTCCTGTACAGGGAACTTAATGCTGAAAATCTGGGTACTCATACTGGAGCCTTCACTGAGAAAACCTCAAAAACCTAAGGGCTCTAAACCTGACCACAGATAGAAATGTATTCTTAATAATAACAGAGACTTGTTTAGATTTGGCTCACAATTTTAGAACATTCTGATTGCACAGTGTCTGGAGTCACTGGAAACTTGTAAGCATTGCTCTGCTGTGAGCTAGCAAACCAGTGACGGGTGTGGTCAGGGACTGACCTGAGGAATTTCATCTGCAGTTCAGAATTCCTAGTGATACTTCGTGCTCCTCGGTGTAAGCTGGGCCAGCTCAGTACCCTTGCAGATAGTTTTGTAACCTCAGAGGGCAGATTTTCAGGTATCTTTAAGCAGTGTTTTTGTGTTTTAATAGATGGGAAGTCATTCACAGGTGGCCATAATAGGCTTGGGTTTTTTAGATGCAAAATCATTTTCTTTGTGAAGGTACATTAAACTAGTATATTTGATTCCTCTTCTAGAAAACTGAACTGAGAACTCATGACTTTGCTTAAAGACTTTTAGAAGACGGCCCTGAAAAGTGCAGGAATTCTGAAGTCTCACAGAATCTTGGAATCTGGGATGAAGTTCCTTCTGTTACAGTAATATTTTGTACTGCCTTTGAGCTAAACATTTAAGGACTAACATTATTCAAACTTGAATGATTCAGAGCTCCTAGGTTACAAATAAATTTAATAATAATTTCATCCTCAAAACTGTATGAACAGTAATTATTTTGGAATATGCTTGTGGAAGGGCCTTCAGAAACTACTGGTCTTGCTGCTGTCAGACGATGAAGAGAACATCATCTTTGTAAAAGAGTAAGTGAAAAATATGTACACTGTCACTTTAACATAGAAATAATTTTACAACAACAACATCCCTGCCTGTTTTTCCACCGGGTTACCTTCTACCAGATGAAAGCACTAACAAAGTATGAATTCAATACATTGTAAGCTGTTGGGAAAACACAACATAGCTCTGACGAATTCAACTGGTTATTTTTGCTGCTAAACCAGAGTGGGGCAAACTTCCATGCAAAGTGGTCAGAACTGAAGTTAGATCCTTTGTTTCTCCTTAAAGATTGCAAAGGAGATTTGGTAATTGGTACGTGTCTCACAAGTTAGAGCCATTAATAGAGAAGGACTGTCAAATACAAGTTGGAAACCAAGTGTGGTACCACATGTAAAGAGACCCATGTAAAGGGGCTGCGCCTTACGTTTGTAACATTGAGAATTGTGTTCTTGTTGATGACAGCTTGTTTTAACTGAAATATAGTTTAGGCACAAGGTGCTTTAAAATGAGGTGAAAGCTAATGCTGTAAGTATAGCTCTAAGGTTTTAAAAAGCTCAGTGCACTCTAAGTTTTCTGTTGTCAGTTTATGTCAAACTAAAGTAAGATTTAATAGATTAATAAATCTATTAATTAACTGCCTCAATCTATTGTGGACTTTTCCCAAGCCACGTTATAAAAAATACCAGTTCTGATATTTCCTTCGCTTTTATCCTTCTACTTTCTTTCAAAAGAAAACTTTTCAGCTCATTTTGGTGCTGATTTTTTTTTTTCCACAGAGTATTTATTACCCAATATACCGCGTTACAACTTTGTGAAGTTTACTTGATCAAAGCATGCTTTACACTTAATTTTAAAATAAATTAATATATAAGCAAGTTGTCTAAATCTCTGGAGAAGGGAAATTCACTAAAATTAGATTTGACAGAAAAAGGCATTGATTTGCTATGAAGAATTACATCATTACATAAGCCGTGTTTAAGATCAGAGTCTTCAGAAATGTCTCCATATTACTGATATGCTTTAATTCTCTACCTGGACTAGATATTACAAATAATTTTTGAGGAAAATTATTTTTGTCCTTCCTGAAAATCTTTTCTAGTTTGGAAAACATTTTTCATACAAACTATGCTGTATAAAAATGTAATCATAGAATTAACTGTTTGTTTTACCAGAACAATTTTAATCTTGTTCTTAGTTAAGTGCAGTTTTCTTTTTTAGTTACTTTTTCCCTTGTCTGATTTTCTTACTGTAAAGCTAAATTAAAGAATAAAATGGTCAGAACCTCTCTGACGGCTGCTGTATACCAATCCAATGGTTTTGTGGGCCAGACATGGGTTGTGGCATGAGCTGCACCAAAAACAAGCTTGAACAAAGCTTGTGCTGGGAGGGAAGTTCTGCTGAGACCTGAAGCCATTGTGGCTGTAGCATAAAATTCTGAGAGTGAGTGATTTCTTATCATAAAGTGAGAGACAGACATGATTACACAGGAAGGGTGCTCTAGGTTGAAAGTCACTTTAAGAAAACACTCTCCTGATGCACCTCATTCACACGTTTACATGTAGGTGTACAGCTTTCAGAGATGGTACAGAGGATCTTAAAGGTACTGAACTGTATCCATAGCTTCAAAGTGTCCAGCTTCCACCAGCTTACACAAATAGCTGTAGTTAATTACTAATCAGAAGAAACTTTACATCTTTCAGCTATATTACAGCTTGTACTTTTGCCTGGAAGTCAGTCAGTTGACATTTTAAGTCAATAAGTAGAGCAAAATCAGCACAATTGAAAGGTAACACTGAACTCCATGTTGAAGAATAAAGTTAGGATTCACCTTTTTAACAAAAATATAACACACACAAAAAAAAAAAACAAAACACAAAAACCAAAGAAACACCCCAACAGGCAAAACCACACCACAACCCCAACAGTCAATGTGAAATTCAATTCCACATTTGCTACGATAAGGATAAATGCAAGACATCAAGGACAACAGGGTACTGCAAGTCTTAAGTGCTGCTCGTGCAGAATTTAACAGCTCCTGGCAGCAGTGTGGTGGTAACTGGTCACATTAAACATTCTGGTTTGTCAGGCAGCCTATTTATTGTTGTACAGAACTCATGGGTTTGTATTGTATTATACAACTAGGGTAGAACAACCATAATTTTCTTCCAAAATGAAAGTTTTTATACAAACACTTCAGGTTTTCATAAAACAAAAAGTTTTTTTTTAATGCCCAGTGTTTTGGTGGAGCACCAGCTCTGGCTGTGCACACGAGCACTAGATTACCTAAAAGACTAATCAGTTCTGTAACTCACTGTGATTGGTAAAGAAAAGCTTTTGATAGAAGCTTGCTTTGACCCTTGCAGCTGATTGAGAATTATTTCAAGGGGTTATCTTTAATGTGTCATACCCCTGCAGTGAGTGTTTTGTGCTGTGAGAGGAATGTATGATACACAAAATGGGAACAGGCTGTAACCATTTAGTAAAGTACTGAAGACCCAGAGCTGCTGTGGTGTTGTTTTCATTATTTCCTTACACATTTTTGGAGTATTTTCCTCAGCATGAAACAGGTACATCTTTGTAAGCCTAAGCTTTCTTAAACCAGATTACTAGAAATGGAAGAATAAATTATGTAAAATACCAGTGATTACTTCAGGTGTTCCCTAAGTTTATATATTCTGACTATACACAGGAAAAATGGTAAAGAACTTCTCCCCATGTTCAGAGAACATTGCCTATGGCCACTGCTATAGTAGCGCGTCACATTTTATTGTTCGCACCTTTTCATGTAACACTGATTTCAGAAGGCTTCTAAGTTGTTGCTATTGAAGTCCTTAGCAAAGGGAGTGAGAGTCACTGTGTGCTTTGGAACTTGCCAAGATTCTGCTTCGCTATGTTGACATTATCACACCTAGAGTGGGATTTCTCATTCTGAGCTGTTAAGAATTAGCTTTTTTTGCCCTTGTAGGAAACATCTTGTTTGCTCCCATCCCTATTACTTTGCAGCTCCCTGAGCAGCAGTAGGAACCTAGCAGACACTGCTTGCTCAGAATTCCCTTAGTAAGTCTTGTCTCCCAAGAAGCAAGGCAATGGAGGAACAGCTCTTCTGCTTTTGAAAGACAGGTCACTTCATGAAACTCAAAAGCCACTTGGGCAAACTCACTAGCAGAGTACTTGGCTTCCGACAGGCAGCCACTGGCTGGCACCACCAGCACAAGTGATCTTTATCTAACAAGTACAAACCTCAAACACAAACCTCTTCAATAAGTCAGCTGACAAAGATACCTATGCAAGAAAAATATTAAAAGTGATTAAAACAGAATGATGTGCAAATAAACCTCTAAAACCTAGCAGATGCAAGTTGTATGTTGCATTTAAAAATAGATTCAAATATATCCCCCTAATTAGGATTTAGAATACTTAATATACACTTGTAATGTAAGTTCTAGTAACATCTAAGATCTGGTTATTGAGTTTACAGAACAGCCTGTTTACAGTATGTTGCTGTCTTTAATATACAGCAGCTTCAGTATGAATACTACTTCACTTACTGGCAAACACTCAGGTGATTTTGTTTTCTATCATCCAACATGAGTGAGCACACACACACACACTCAGAATTTTCTATTTAAAATGAGTAATTGCTAAAACATATACTGTCCAATCCATCTAGGTATGGTGCAAGTGGTTACAGTGCAACAATTTAAACAGCATTTGGACTTCCCCAAGTATCCTTCTCCAGGACAGCTGCTGTCAATGTCAACACCACATCTCATTGAGTTAGCTTTGAGCAACACTGCCTCTTCCCACCCCTTCTTGGGATAAGATAAACAGAAGACAAACATTTCAACACTGCATTAACATTTCAATTTCCCACCTGAAATAGAAACAGTTTTGTACAGTGGCTGTATAAGTAAACTGACCAGAATGGTTTACTCCCAGACAAGGCTGCCATCACACCAACCCACCAATAGGTAAGTTATAATTAGCTACAGTTTACATGCACTCATGTCCTTTCCCCACTATGTTTAAGGAGGAAATAACTTCATACCACCTTGCTGGAGTTACTCATTGCTATGAAAAAAGTCCCATCATTGCCAAGTGTTATCAGCTCCAAGAAATACAACGTTCTGGTCTCCTAGTAAGGTGCAGTAAGCGAGAAAATGTAGCATGAAGGCACTTGATACCAGCTAAGATTCATACAGTAGTTTCACTTTAGAATAAAGGATACAATAATAAAACCAGACTGTTAACTTAAAGCACACTCTAAATTTGGCAAGGAAACTTGCTTAAGACCAAGCTAGTGTAGTAGGACAACCTGTAAATGTGCAAAAACATGGAGAAGGCTCACTTATCTTGATGCTATAAGCTAAATCCAGACACAGTCAGGTGCTGAGCATTATTCCTAGCTTCAAAGTAAGAAGTATCAGTTTCATCATCCGGCTGAGGTATAAATGGCATAGTTTGATTTTGTAGATTATCCCAGTCCACACCATGAAAGAAAGGGTGATTTTTTAGTTCTGAAACAGAAGTCACACAAGCATTATAAACATCCTCTTGTCCAAGCCCCATAGTCACTTTGTTCCCTTGATGGATAACTGTAACCTCAGTGGGATCAAACAACAGTCATGCCAACCAACCATCTTCCCCCAGCCAGAGAACCTGTTCTACACAGCAGATCAGAGGTGCCCTTGGGGCATGCCTCATATGCTAGGACACCACAGAAACTTTAAGCATCACTTCAATGCCTGTTTCTCATTTTGCCAAAGGTCTGTGCTGAGTGAACATGTCAGAGTCCCTCCCACCTTCTTCCATTCCTCCAGGCCACCTGCCTTTTCCTAGCTCATGGTTTCTCTGCTCTGCACAGTCCTCTCTGGCCTCCTACTGGACACAGGAGTCTAAACACTGTTATGGTAAAAGATACCACAGACCACCAGATTCATCTTTCCCAGCCCAAAGGTTAACTAACCAAGCTGCAAGACTTGCTGACTCAAGGAGAACTCCCTTGTCCTGTCCATTCTGACCAGAACACAACTCCTGCCACACAAGGTCTGGTGTTTCTTCTGCATAGCCTGAAAACACCACTCCCTGATGAAAGTGACTTTGCTACTTGGATTCAATCCAAGAAAGCACCTTTTCAACACAGCAGGTGACAAACCCATGTTTTTATCACCTACCCCACACAAATCAAAAGCAAATAGGACAGGTGAAAATAGCATTTAGAAGATGGAGGTTTGACCAAGACAAACACTCACTGCAAATTTTAATTCTAAGGACATAGCTCATGCTTTTACCCAATAGACAGTAAGACATTAATGTTTATTATTTCTACATTTCCTGATCAAATAATGTAACACTATTTGCTTATTTTAGTCAAAAGGCAATAAATCAGAGTCTTCTAATCGCTTCAGCTCCCATATATGCAGCAGGGCACTGAACAGATCCACTATCTCAGAACTGTCCATAGTTCTGCTCTTAAGAGAGTTCCCATACACTGAAAACTGTCTTCAGCTGAAAAGGTGAGCAGACTTCAATGTCTTTCCCCAAGAAAAGCTGTCAGTCAGCTCCTGTCTATATGTATGTCTAAAGAGGGGCGGTAAAAGCCAAAACCAGACATTGGAACCAGCATTCTCTGCCAAATGCTTCATTAAAGCTTCTCCTATCTGGTAAGACTAAACTTGCAGAAGCACTGTGCTAGGACATGGTATAACCAGGATTTCTCTCAGTAAGCTAGCCTTCTATGCTGGAGAGAGTGAGAGCATGTGTTTTGGAGAAAACAACAGGCAGTGATGGAAACTCAGTCACAATGAGGAAAGCTTAACAGTTGTCCTGAAAGCTACTCACAGAACTTCACTCACTTCAGCAGCCTATAAATTGGCTAGAGAGATCAGATAGAGTTATAAAGGTCCTGACAAAGAATGGAGTTCCAAAAACTTCTGACTGGAAGAAACCATTATGTTACCTAGTTAAAATTTCTATGCATGGCAGGCAATTAGATTTCACCCTAATGTGCAGGGATAAAGACAATAACTTGTGTTTAACTGAAACATGTTCAAATCAAGACAATAAGATGCTTTTTTGTAAGACATGAAAGAGCCACAGAATTCCCATTTGACATCACGATCTTCATTTATAACTGTGTGCCTTCTCTGATTTGATCTGGCCTGGTTTCAGTTTCTAGTCTTTAGTCTCTTTTTGACTAAGCATTTCCATAATCATTTCCTTCTCTAGTGATTTCTAGGGTAGCTTTCTCAAGATTCCTTCTACCTTTTTGAAAACTTCTCACTGTAACTTTCCTTCATGTTATTTTTTAAATAAAATATAGTCACCATTAGAACTGTACACATTTAAGACCTTCTACAAGGGAAAAATATTACATAGACTTTGTATAGTACATAGCATCTAACTGTTCTGTACATTCAGTAAAGACAGGCTGACTCCTAAGAAAAAGCTCCTTTGAAGTAACTTTTGCAGGAGGCTTTTCTCCCAAATTATAGGCTTTTAATCAAGCCCCTGCTCAAATCGATCAGGTCAAAACCCACAAATACCTGTTACTGAGTTAGGCAAGAGTGAACTTTGGTACATCAGATACCAAACACTAAACATCCACAGCAGAACAGCATTTAGAGCTAATCAAAAGTTCGATAAAAACAAACCAGGAAACACTCTAATTTTCCTGTGTTTCCAAACACTCAAAATTTCCTTCAAGAGGGCAAGTATCTACAAACATACAGAAAATACCACAACTTAAGTGTTCTGGCACTATATATGGTACCCAAACTGGCATTAAAGATTTAGTCTAAGTTTCAGGTGGAGGACATCACCACTTTGTCGTATTTAACTAGTTGCAAGGAACATAAGAGAATTTTAGTACTAACCCTTCAGTCCAGCTCTCTTAGTACTGTCAATTGTTAGAAGAATATCTATTGCATTTTGGGCATTATCAGACAGCTTTTCTTCACCCTCAGGCCACGGAATATCTACAAAGATGCAGAAGAATCAGTAACTCAAGCCATAAAACAAATGCTGGACATACATACTTTCCCCCAGTTAGAGACAGATTACCTCTCTTCAAAATATTTTGGAAGACTTGTGTTGGTGTTTCATCATTAAAAGGTGGAATTCCAGTTAGAAACTCAAACAGACAAACTCCAAGGGCCCACCAGTCTACAGCAGAACCTGATAAGAGAAATCCAGGTCATTATACTAACACGAATGATATTTGCACAGATTTGAAGCTTAGTCATGACAGAAACTGAAGTGTTTAAATCCCACAAAGTTTTTGGAAATGAAGAGACAAAATAAGTTGTACTTAATAGCCATGCAGAAAAATTAAAAGTATATTAAAGGGCTTTTTTAGAAGCTAGTCTGCTCCTTAGTTCATTATAGATAATACCAGGGTTTACTGATAAAAGCAAGGGGGCTTTTAAAAACAATCTAATAATCAACTCCCATCACAGGGAGTCCAGGAGCTGGCTTCTCCAAGAAATTGTTTCACAGTAAGAACAGCTGCCTTTACCTGCTCTAGAGCCTGGAGCAGTGCTCCATGTCATAACCCGTATCCTTCTCTCAGTTCTTTGAGAGGACTCCAGGAACTCAAACTACTGAACTTCATTTATTTGTCTAAGTTCATGTCAAATTATTGAAGACAGCTTGCAGAGATGAGCCACATGTGAGAAGCTGGAATTGTTTCACATTACATTAAAGCTGATGAGGGCAACACAATCACTAGCTATCTCTCCTCTTACTAAGTAATTTTGGTTCTCATTCCAGGTTTTTTTTCTTTCCAAAACCATCTTACTAGCCTACTTAAAACAAGTAGGCAAAGCAACCTCAGACACTACTGCATGCATTCTAAGCTTTCTGCATCTTCAAGCCATGCCCACTCTGCTGTATAAAGAACAGATGCCACACTTGCTGCAAAAGAGAAGTCTTCTAAAGGCATGTGTAATTTTTCTCAGCTTTGTTTTTGGCACATAAAAAAATTAAGACAGTTAAGAAAGCAAATGTTTTGAGCCATTTCGAAAGGCCTATCAACTAAGTTTAGAAATGCTGAAAACTGAAATGTGTAACTAGTAATCTAGCACACTTTCAGCAAGTTTTAACTGCATAAGTGGCCCACTAAGCTATAAGCATATCAAAGCTGTGCGATCGCATCCACTGTTAGAGGTACTTGGACATTCAGGTAAAAATACTCCCAACTTCAGTCAAAGTCTAGCAAGATCACAACTCCGCACAGTGTAGTAACATGGGTATCACCAGCAATTTTTCCCACCCAAAGTTTAACCAGAGATTAGATTAACTTCCTACTACATACCCCTACTAAACTATGTTTATCAATACTTGAAGCAAGAAACAAATACCAGGTCTCAAGCATTTGGGCCTTTTTTTTTGTCCACACACAAAGTAAATCAGACTGACTGCATAAAGTGAAAGGATGAAAAAAGGTTTATTTCCTTTTACACAATGTCTTTAAGAATGCTGACTTTACTCCTGACGTATAGGCTTATGTGTGCCATTTCCGATGGCCTAGTCATAGTGACACTGATGTTTCTTGAATGCCTTACGGAAACAGCAGATTCTTATGTGCAGTGCATAATGGGCATTTCTTTCCATATAGAAATGCTGTTCACTCAAACAAGTTTCTTTGAAATTGTGATCTAGTTTTACTTTGACTGTTTACAGTTATGCTGAACACTCCATTTTTGCACAGCATATAGCAAACTCACCAGAGATTAGAGTCCCTGCATATGAAAAGACAATGAAGCAAGAAAATTATAATTATTGCATGAAAACCCTACATGAACATCAAATATCAGGTATGATTCTCTGAAGGCACAGGAATACACTTTTTCTTAAGGTAGTAACTCAACAATAAAGATAGATGTCAATGCTAAATTTAAGTTAGAAACAGAAATGGTTCTGTAACATGGCTACAGTTTAGGACTACAACCACATTTACAAGCAAGTCAGCAACACCAGAAATATTTAGCGAGTGAAAGTTTTAAGTTCTGAAGCCAGAAAGCCCTGCCTTCATGAAGGTAATGGGAGATTTGCTATTTCTTGACATCAACCCCAGACTCTTTGCAAGTTATCACTGAAGTCCTGAAGACAATCAGTAACTGCACAAATGTCACCTTGCAACAAAGTTTCACATTGTCTAAGTAGCATTAATTGTATTCCAAGCTATTATCCTGTTTAATGCCTGCCAAATCACCAGAATTAAGCGGAATTGCTAAACAACTATGTATGTTTAGTAACTTTAGTCATTAAATTGTTAAGTCACTTCATGCAGTTTTAGTTAACATATATTAGCTGCATACAGCAGAATTTTATTGTTCCACAGATTAGTTTTATTTCTCAATGAAGATCACTTATCTCATACAATTTTCCTAAGACTATTAGCTCTACAAAATAGAAGTATACTTTTGATATGGAAATAAAACGTAATTATCAATACAACAAATATATCAGGGATACATTGCAGTTATTTTGTTAATGGCTCTTGCAAGTTAGCAGGAAAATACTTCAAGACTTCTTGCTGATCTCAATATTTGAGCCAAAGAAATTTATGGACTTCAAAGTTCTGCTATTTTTTTACTGTATTTTTGAAAAGCAACATAAAATTGATGGCTACTACTGTCCACTTGTCTGAAAGATCCTGCCAACATCTTAAGTGTTTCATGAAGTTATTCAACTCAGTAACTGAGTTGGATGCAACTTTATAAGCTTGTCTGGATACACATAACACTAATATCAATAAACAAAGGCTTAATCCTTTCATACTAAATTTCACTAAGTTCCTCCTGCCCCACCCCAAAGAATCTTTAAGAACACTCAGGATGACCAAGTTGTGATTCCTAAACCACATACAAGTCCCAGGCTGCCTAAGCCCACTTCCAGTGCATTAGACTAACAGCAGACAAGACTACACTAGACAGTCAAAACCTTTGGAGATGTGAAAAAAGTGGAGGGGCAGCTGAACAAACACAGCCATGCATGTTGGCCAAAGCTAAGCACTAGGTATTTTTAAATAACTTATAGTCTTATTATTTAAAGGGTTTAGAGCTGTAGAGACCTTTAGAAATGTAAACATGTCACCTTAACTAGTATTTAGAAACTCCATGGTTTGTCTTACCATGAGGCTTTGTCAAAAGCAGCTCAGGTGCCAGGTAGTCTGGGGTCCCCAGGATGCGTTCACCTTCTACTGGAGCAGCTCCTCTTCTTACACTCTTTGGAGTCCTATACGGTGTGCCAGCATCTCCCTGATGAGGTGTCTTAAAAGGGGCAACAAAGACTTCAGATGTCAATCAAAAACAGCTGAGAAACTCCCATCTCCAGGTTTAGTTGCACCCATTGGTGCAACAGCTGATACTTAAAGTCAATAGCAAAGTCAAACACATATCACAATGTACATTCCCTGAGAAATTGTGAAATGTGTTTCCATTTCTTTATCTCAACTATCTTAAAACATAAAAAGTTAAGATACCTACTCTTAAGGAAACTTTTGCCTAAGTTCATTCTCCAATGTCAAATCCACAGCAACTTTTTACATTAAGCTTCGTAATAAGCTTGCAATTGATACGTGGCAGTACACATTACCAGTATAAGAAAACAGCAGGCACAATAGTTCTTATTGTGCCTGAACAGCATTTGCAGACTGTCTTGGGAGGAATGCAGGATGGAAAATAAATAAATAAAGCAAAGCCTTCCCATCACATCAGGAAGCATACAATTACCCACAGAAAATACCATACTGCACTAAATGTGTGAGACAAAATAGCCCAGGCTTTCTTTACTGGTACACTGTAAGAGTAAAGGATTTCTCCAAGAGGTGGACAGACAACACTTGCCGAGACACAAGCAAAACAGTGGACACATAATTTCTTCAAGAGCTTACCAATAACTGTAATTTTGTCCACCGAAGTGCAACAAGTGAAAGCCCGTCCACAAAGGTCACTATGACAGACTACCTTAAGCTACTACAATTTTCCCTCTAAATTAGCAACTGAAAATTTTAGATCACTAATGCCTAATGCACACACAAAGAATCCAAATGTCTCCTTACATACCTGATAGACTTGGTATGGCCTTCCTTTCTGTAATGGAGTAATAGCTGTTGGGTAAGAGCCACTACAAGCAGGTGAAACATCCATTATATCTAAGGAAGCCATGCTACATGGCTCAGATATATTGGACATATTAATTGGGCTATTATAACTTCGAAAAACAACAGCATTTTTTTTTAACATATTCAGTGCTTCCATCATCTTTTCTGAAGGAGAAGATACTATCTCATGGTGAGTTTCTTTCATGTGTTTTTGGTCATTACCCTTTTCATCAGGTAATGGCTTGTATTCCTGGACAGCATGTGCTTCCTCTCCATTTTGTGTGGCATCTTGGGACTTCGGTGATGTTACAAGCACGCCTTCTGGTTCTAGTTGCTCAAAGGAAAGGTCTTTAACACTTCTGTCCAAATCTAAAAGATGCTTTTCTAAATGGTTTTCTGCAACAGACATTTCAGGAAACGACAAGTCAGAATCTGCACTGAGGATTCCTGAAGGCTTTTCATCATCACTGCCAAAAAAACTTGAGTTCATATACTCCTTTTTATTATCCTTTTCATAGTCAGCATCCAGATCACATGCAAGATTTTTGGCTATAACTGAAATAAGCGAACTTTCCATTGTTTTCTGGTTACCAATAAGACTCTGAATTTGTTCCTTGCTTTTGCAGGTGTCCTGTAGGCATCCATCATCACGAAGCATTAAGGATTGAATTTCTGTTGTCAAACCTGTCCTTTTATGTGCTGGAAATTCTATGATCTGACAGCCACGTTTATATTCTGCATTGCTTTTCTTAACATAGTTAAGCTCCTCAGAAGGACTAGTGTCAACTAATTCAAAGCTTCTTTTTACACCTGGCTTTTCAAAAATCTCTTCCTTTTTAATAGGCTCGACAGGCTCATTCTGCCTTGACCATGACTGTCGTCCATTGGAAGCTTCTGGTGTTTCATTAGTCCTATCTCTTTCACTTATGAAGAGTTTTTCCTCCCAAATCTTTTTTTCAGAAAGACATTTTCTGACTATGCCTTTCATATCCAGTGCGGTCACAGGAGTATTTGTTATATCAGAACGTTCACTTCCCAACTTCTGCTGATTGCCAGAGTCATTGCTGCTGATGGGAGAAATGGCAGACTCCAGTTCTTTTGTCTTTAAAATATTCAAACCTTTGCTATTCTGTAATTCTACATTTGAAAGGAGAGTTGACCCACTGTTACTTGGTTTGCCTGTTGTAGAACATGGTTCATCTTCACTTTGCTACAAACAAGCAGATTGAGTATCAAGAAAAATAGGGCTACAGCATTATAGAAATGTCCTAAAATACCTCAGTTCCACTTCCATAAAAAAAATTGCAAATTGCCAAGCATCACTTATTCTTTATAAGCACTAGCAGTGACAAACATGACATAATACATGAAAAAAAAAAATCAAAACTAGATTAGGGATAATTTGACTTTAAGAACATAAGCTTGGTAGAATACAATAGAAAATAAAAGTATTTTTAAATGCTTAAGAAAGAAATATAGCAATTAAAGTTGTATTTCTGATTTTATATTAAGAAGTTAAGCTACAGAAGTTCTCAGGTTCTAACAAAGCCCAAATCAAAGAACCCCATCATACTACCCTGTTGTTTATACTTCAGAGATGACAAAAGAAAAATCTTGTATTACTACCACTCTGGTAACACAATATTGAAAACATCATCTTGAGAAATGGACAGATATAACAAAGTTATAAATTATTTTAAACATGAGGAATTGTGCAAAGGACCAAATATCATAGCAGCATTTTCTTTTCGGTCTGTATTTGCACAGAATTTCATTAACAGTTTAAACTAGGAGAAAGTATTTTGTATACAACACCAGCTATAACTACTGGTGCTTGAATAATTGACACAAAACCTTCCAGCAGTATAAACCTTAAGCTTTTCCCATTTTTAATAGCTAGTAGAAGTGTATTTTATAATTTTTACCAAGTTCTGCCTTTTAAAAGAAATTCTTTTGTCTGCATGCTGAGCTAATACAACTGTACGGATAAGATCAGCTTCCAAAGAGCCAGTGCTCCCAGCATTGCCCATCTTGTGAAGAACAGGGCTAAGCCAGTGCTGTCCAGCAGAAGCCTGGGCTGCAGATTAAGTGGCCTTTGCTTTTTGTGTTATGCTGCACAGGACTACTATTGGTTTGAAGAAAGAAATACTACTAGTTTGATCCAAAACTCCTACTCAGCAAGGATTACAGCCACTGCTCCTACTGTAGGAAGGCTTCTCTACATCTGAAATAACTGGGGGAAGTAAATAGAGGATATCTGCAGCAGTATATATAAAACTACAAACTAGTTTTAATGTATAGTGGGAAGATAAAACAGTCCTGACCTCTACATCTTTCTCCCACCTGGGGCTGCTGCAGCATCCCGATTCCATACCAGACAGGTATTTTTGGGATTGACTACTGGCACTGGAGGTACCAAACCTTTTTCTTGACTGAAGCAGAGTAGGAGTTAAACTTCTCACTGGCATCACAGGAGTTAATGGAGAAGTATCAAGATCTTGAGAGGGGAAAGGAAAAAAAAAATAAAAACAATCAAGCATTGATACAAATAGGCAACAAATATTAACCAGCTTCACAGTATGGCAAGCTTTCATACTGAAGGAAGTTATGGAAAGCCATGCATGACATTCATTTCTCTCATCTTTCCTGCATAGTTAATTCACTCATTTTTTGAAGCAAGGACTTACCAAGAATTTAAAAGCAATATGAACATTAGTGCCATGGTAGCCTTCTTCCTCATTTCAGGTCAGAAATGAGGAAGCAGTAAGATAAGGCAATTTAAACAAAAGCACACATTATTATGTTAAATGCCAGGAACTCGCACTATCTATGTAAAATCTTAAAGGGTCATTTTGCATTCAGTAGTTGTGCATTTGAAAAAAAAAAAAATCAGAAGATGACGTAAGTAGTGTAAGTGAAACCATGTCAGACCTCACATACTAGAGGGGTAGTAGACAGCAAGACACTGACAGAAGCACACCTTTCATCAAGTGGGTTCAAGCTACTCTCATAAAATTGAAAGACTACAATCTTACAGCCAGAGTATTACTCAGTACAAGGTGTAGTATACCCACATGTTTTGAATAATTTAGTTGAAAGAGGGGTTTCTTCCTTTTGGACCACAGGTAAGGGAGAAACCATTCCATGCAGACTCTCAGATGATTCGCTTGACTTGTACTCCGGCATTTTCATTCCAACAGGCGTATACTATCAAACAGTAAGAAGTATAGTTACAAGTTAATGAAGTCTGAACAAAACATCCAGGATTGGGAGTGTAACCACACATATACTTTATTATGTCTGCACTGGAGTTTAGCCATGCCCATTTACCAATTTTTTTGAAGCACAACTGACAGTCAGCAGTTTGAAACATAGTCCTAGGTAATCACGTCAGAACTTCAAGGTACTGGAAACAAGTCCTGCTACCAGCTGGCAGAAAAGATGCAAGTATAGCCTGAACACTCTTACTATTACATAAAAAGTAGTAAGCAAGCCAAAAGAATGAAGTACTTAAAGATTGTGAAAATTACTTACAAAACCCAGAGAACTGATGAGAGACAACAATTGTCCTGGAGTACGCGAGTAGTCCTGCTTTGGCTTTGCCATTGATGGTGTAGTAAGGATATCGATCATATTTATCTCTACAAACAGAAAAAGATACAAAGCAGGTCAGTTTTTGCTTTTGCTATTAAATAAGCAAATTTGCAGGCATTTACTTAAGTGTTAAGAGGTGGTGCCACGTACTGGACAAATATATAAAAGAAGCCACCAAACCCAAATGAAGACCTATCCATACATACTTATTCAAGAGGATATCCTGTATATCATAAAACTACAGTTTACAAATACAGAAACTGTTGAAGTCCAATTTCCAACATACCATGTTGGAAGTGTTACATATTCTAACTTGATAACAGCTTTGTTTTTTGGTAGCAATTGGCCTATTGCCTGTGGGCTAAGATAGTAAATTTAATTCAAAGCATGCTTTCTCTCCCAAAGATATTGCAACAAAGCTACAGGCAAATTTTTCATAGGTGAAAGTTTAACCTTAGATGCCATTTTTTGCTCGCTAAAAGCAAGTAAGTTTATAGCTTACATCTGTTCAGCTAGACACAGTATGTCCCATTAGAATTTATCAGTTAAAGCAGCATATTACTGAAAACACACTAAACTTAGGATTTTCCTCTATACGCTTAAAGGCAAACTCTATAGACAACTCTGAATTTCTACATTCCTTTAACTCAATAAAAAGGATGTACCCATCAGCAACTGCCTAAAAAAAAAGAAAAAACCCCAAAAACCCCACAGCAATCACACAAAACCAAACAAAAAACTAACAACAAACAAACAAAACCAACAAAAACCCCACAAAACAACAAAACCCACTTACACCAAACACAACAACAGAAAAAAAAACCTGGTGCTGTTTGGCATTAGGCTGACTTACGCACCTAAAGGGTTGGAGATGCAAACTAGTTCAGGAACTGGCTATTCACCTTAAGACATGCAGCCTATTGCCTGTGCCAGACAGTCATTTGGCTATTCAGCTATATTTTCTGCTACTTGAAAACAGTATGTTCATATACTAAAGCACTGATTTATAATCTTCTGTTAGAGACTCACCACCTCCTCCTGTCTCTCACATTAAGGAAGGTTCAAGGTGGAAAAAATATATACAAGTACAGAAATAGCCAGAGAAACACAAAGAAAAAAGCCAGAATTATTCATTCACCATTTGAATTCTCTTAGTGAACTTCATATAAAACTTTTAAATCCATACACCTCAAGGGAAATGGCTCTAAATCATATTTCATGGACCCTCATCCCAAAGAATAAATATTTTAGCTTCTGAAGTGCAAGGTATAGAGCAGGCCCTTTACAGCATGGGCCTTATTACTACTTACCTACTAGAAAACAGATAATAGGGCAACATTTGTGCTTATTTAATTGAAAGCTGCCCTCTATGGGGATATCAAGCATTCAGGAATATGGGCACATGACACAAACACACAATTCAATACAAGCAAAAGGATACAGACAACCCTTACCTCTATTCAGAGTAACTCTGGAAAGCCCAAAGTCTGTCAACTTTATATGGCCCTGATTAGAAATGAGCATATTGTCTGGCTTCAGATCCCTAAAGACATGAACATAGTTCAAGTCAGCAAAGACAACTGAGCAATATTAAGAAAGTTACCTATCCAGAAACACTCAATACAAAACACTGATTATAGCTGGTTTTCAGTAACAACTCTTAGCCAGCAGAAGATTCTATCTGAAGGAATGCACCAAAACAATTAAACATTTCTAGCACTAAAAATTGTACAAACCTGTCAGCTTGTAAAACGACCATGCACGTTATGTATTTGTTTCATCAGGTTTGTCCTGGGTTCAGCAGGACAAGGTTTTAAAAGTTTTTTGTGAGTACTAACATCACAACATTTACTAATGTGTAGTTCCAACATATGACAAGCAAGCCTCCAGTAAAATATTTTTCTCTGTGTGGCATTACTGAATGCAGCAAAGAATTCTCACTACAAGGGAAGCACTAGAGTAGTCAATGTCCATTTGTCCTACAGTTACATGCTTGCAGTACTCAGAACTAACAACCATTTAAGAGTGGGAGGGGACCTAGGAGGCAGCATAGTTACTAATACATCTCAGTACTGGGGGAAGAATGCACAGGCAGGGGAAAGCAGTGTAGTATGTTTGTCTGGTTAACATACATAGAAAGATTTTAATTGTTTCATGACATTGCTGCAATGTACACATGCAAAAAGACCTTTCAGAAGCTCTAGCAAGTGAGTCAAGTGTTACTATGAAATGGTGATTGGTTATGTGTTTGAGGGAAAAATTAAAAACTCAAACTACCAGATGCTTATTTGTAAGAGAACAAAAAGTAGGTTTTACCTGTGGATTATCCCATGCCTGTGAAGATAATCAAGAGCCAATGCCGCTTCAGAAATATACTTAACAGCCATTTCTTCATCAAAATATCCATAAATATGGAGAAGAGATTTGACATCTCCACCAATAAGGTACTCCATCACCTGCCATTCAAATGTTTTAAATTTTTAAAATGCATTTAAAATTTGCAAACATAAAAAATATCTTTCACCCCTAGGAAGACGTAACTTCAAAGAGCAGAATACAAAAGCGGCTTCCTTGTGCCAACTTCATTTCTCACAGGGTACTTTTCACTTGGATAAAATTAAAACTTCAAATTATAGAGGACATAAAACATTTTTCTTTTAATAGACCATTTGCTGATTTTATTTGCCTAGCCTACTTTCAATAGTCAGCTCTCAAGTAACTCCTGCAGTCAGCTCAGCTTTTTAATTTCTGACAGATTTCTGTATTACAGAAAATAAATTACAAAGCACTTCTGGGAAGCTCAAGGCCTGAAGCCAAATACCACTGGTATTTGGTTTGTATAGAACAGGTATCTCAATGATTTTATTTTGCTAGTATTTATACACAATAGCAAATTCAGATCTGAGCCTTGTGAAATAAATGCAAATTTCCAGGAATGTATACAGTGAGAGCTACTGTATTTAAGAAACAAGCATGTTTAACAAAAATACACAAAAAATTTAATCAAACCCACACATTATTATGGCCCATGTCATAGTCAATACAAAAGAAAAGTCAGCAGGGTTTCAGAAGCTCACTTTTCAATAACAAGAATGATTTTATGGGCTTTTCTGTCAATCAATCTCATCAGTACTTAGATTCCAACATACAATACTATTCCATATATTATGATTAGCATCTCCTTTAAAATCCTTCACCCTGAACTCCTCTACTCTACACAGCAATTAAACAGAGATTCCAGGAAAAGAAGCCTTCATTTATACCCAAAATGCATTGTAGGAGTGCACAGCACAATCACCTCAATTTAATCAAGCTGTTCACTGTCTGTCCTTACAGCAAACAAGACAATACAGCAGATCCTTATATAGAGTCTTAATCCATACCATTTTCATGTGGAGGCAGCATATAAAATTACGTTCAAGCCCTCTGTACTCCAGAGCGCTCCATGTAGACTAGCATTTAGTTTTCCCACTCATTTATCCTCTTGTCATCTAGGCTAACCACCATCATGAATTTTGACCACAGGCAACAAGTGAAACAGATTTCCTTTAAGTGAGCCACAGGGTATTTTTCAGTTCCTTGGATTCCGCTTGAACAGAATGCTTTCTTGTTTTGCTTTCCCTAAGATTTCTACATATTCCTCAGATTACCTATGAAAAAGGCTTTCATGTAAAAAAAGGAAAAAAGGTGGAAAGATTTCAAAAGGTACCAGGGGAAGAGAAATATTTCACTTGTTCAACCATTCCAAGAAAGAAAGCAAGTCCATTCCCTGGTCACTTTTACCATCATGAAAATAGTTTTCTGACATGAATAAAGCTCTGCACTCCATTTTCAATCCTATCATAAACCATCAGAATAATTTATTTACTCACTAAATAGACGTTATTAGCTGACTGAAGTGAGTAGTATAAATGCACAATGAAAGGACTTTTACTGAGAGCCAATGCATCCCTCTCTGCCTGGACCTGGTGAACCATGTTTTTGTTGATCATATCTGCTTTTTTCATCACCTGAAAAACAAAATGGAATCAAATAAACATTCTTTTATTTGCTCAACCCATAATTCATCAGTCAGTTCACATATCTCTTACCTTGCATAGATATACAAATAAAACAGTTATAACTTCACATACAGAAAAAAATTGGAAACACAGGTTATTAAAGAACCTTTTTCATTGCTCTCCTCCTAATTCACTCCTGAATGGAAATCACACTACCAGTATTATCTGCAATTGCACACACTTGAAAATAAGTGTTTAAGTTGTATGTGAAATTAAGCTGCCTGGAGTTAATCCTCTTATCCACAGCATACAACTCAGAACCAGAAAGGCTTGTTCAATGCTTAGATGTGTACTTGCTGACAAAGTCTTTCCAGCTCTCCAGAGGCTGAGATGTATGTTCTGAGGACTGAAGAGTGCAGCAGTAAGTCATTCTGTCTTGGCATCCTCAAGTGCAAGACTGCAACTATTCCAGTCTCCAATTCTTAATTTTACAGAGAAAGCAGTGAATTTTAACTTAATTTTAATTTACAGTCAAGACACCCAACAAATATTTGTTTCCTTGGGGAGAAGCCTCAAACACATGCAACTCACAATGAAGAAATAAGAAGCTTAACTGTAATTTACAATCTAATTCCGGTATTCATCTATGTTGATGGCCACTTAACATTAACCTTGAACAGAAGGTGCATAAAAGCATAGCCGATGGGTATTTAGGCAAGCATTGCATACACCCTGAAAATCTGCCCACTTTCAACATCTTTGGTCCAGATCTGGATGGTGATATTAAAGCAAATTTAATTTGTCCATTCTGTATGCAACATAACGGAAGTTGAATCTACAGCTACCACTGGAATTCAGTAACAGAATTTGGTAACATTTAAAAACAGCAAGACATTAAGAAATGTAATTTGATACCATCAACATAGGTGTTGATGTTAACTGTAAAAACCACCTAGCACATAAAGCTCTGCATCTTGAATAATCCGTAAATCTCACTGCAACAACAATAAAGGATTTACACAAAACCCTTTAGGTCACAAAACTTCCAATAAACTTGTGTAAGATACTGCAGTAATGCAATCGAACCACTCTATATGCAGCACCTAAACTGCAGGAAACTAGTTTCCACTACTACATTACTATTATCACAGTTGATAGCAAAAAAAAAAATAATAAAAAATTCCAAGATATACACAGAACACATAGAACTGCACTGTTAATAAGTGTTAACTGTACAAATATTTAAGCATGTGTTAAACGTTGTAGCTGTGAACAGCCCATAAACTTCACGACAATAGTTTACAAATAAGCTTTCACCTCAAAACGTTTATAGTAAATCATATAAATAGATATACACAGCTCTGAAGAGCAACGTCTGCTTTGCATGACTAGTTTTACTTTTCCTCTTTGTGCACTATGAAGATAGTTATAAACCCTTTTATTGCAAGGTCAAGTTCACACCATCAGTAAAGTTTTTACCACTGACAAGGCTGGCTTTCAATCCTTTGCATATCAATGTAGAAAACGTAAGGGTTTTAAAATGTGTACTCAGCAAAAATTCTTTAAATAATTTGCTTTCCCTATACATATCAGAGGCAGACTTTTCACTTAGATGCGAGAACACCGTCCCTGGAGCACGACAGCTGCATGCATTCGATTCTAGTATTTACAAGCGAGAAGGAAATAGCGCGGTGGCACTTTGTAAAGCTTTTAGCCTAAACGACAGCTAAGGTAGTTCTAAGAAACAGCTGCCGTTATCAGGTGCCTCCTACCCAAAGCCTCCAGGCAAATACGACTGTGAGGAGAACGCTAAACAGTCATGCCGACAGCCCATCTCCCAGACACCGGGCTCCTGCCAGAACAGCGGCAGCTCCCTAGAAGCTCAGGAATCAGCAGGCAGGGGACTCGGGTCGCGGTAGGCCTTCATTAGGCACCCCTTTTCTTACACTAAGTTAAACGACAGCAGAGTACGGAAGCACCGCGACACTGGGCAGCGAGGAAACAGTACCGAGCCCCGAGGGCGGCAGAGGACGGGGAGGCGCCCCTAGCCCGCGTGGCCCCTCACCTTCACGGCATAAAGCCTCCCTGCCTTGCGGCCCAGGTACACCTTCCCGAAGGCGCCACGGCTTATGGGCTTCACGATGGTGAACTCCTCGATGGAGGGTGGCCGAGGAACCTCCAGGCGCCTCGGACCAGCCGCGACAATGCCATCCCCTTCCTCGGGCCGGGCCTCGACCACCGGCTCCACCGTCCCCATGTCGCGTCCCGGCCCTGGCGCCCGACACCGATTCAAAGCGGCGCGAGCCCCGCCCCTCGGGGTAGCCGGCCAACGGACGGGCGCGGGGGAGGAAGCGGGAGTGTTCTCGCGAGAACCCTCGCGCGGTGGCCGTTGAGGGAGAGAGGGGGGAAGTTACAATGGCGGCCGGAGAGGTAGGGCCGGGAGAGGTGCTTTAAAGACGCGTTGCACCCGCCTCTGTAGTTGCTGAGGTGCCCGCTCTTCCGTGTCCTACGTGCGGTGCTGCTTCGGGTGGTGTCCGGTTAGCAGCGCCCTCAGTTTTGCTTACAGCCGGGAGTTAAGTGTTTATTACTGGCACAGTCAAGCTGAATAAAACTGGTTGCGATGTCACCTTCGAGGGCTGTGGGTGTTGCTGTAGTGCAAGTGTTTCCGACAGGTTCTTGTCACGGTATCTGGCTAAAGCACGTTGCCTTATGACAGCCTTCCCAGCTTGATTAGAAGGGCTCCTCAAACATTTCATCATTACATATAGCAGTTAAAACCCATCCATGGAATTACATTCTGTTGTGGTGGGTTGGGGGTTTCTTAGACCATTCGTTAGGACAATCTGTCAAAGCTTTGGTCTGAGTAATAGCTACTCAATTTGCCATTTATGTTTCAAATTTGGCAGTGGGTCATCACTCCAGTTTTTTATTACTTCAGCATCCTTTAATCTCAGGCAGGGCTGCTCCCTGCTGTAAAATACGAACTCACTCCTCTAAACAAGATAACAAGGTTTTATTGAGGGACAAAGTCAATAAAGCAAAAGCAACAGCACTAGGCGCATGACCGTAGCCAGAGGCACGAGTGATTAGTATTTGTTACAGGTTTATATACTTTCACTATTACATCAGTTACATACCTATTCATAATTCCTGCATATAGGCAGGGGATATTATAACTAACTCCAATATTTTATTATCATAAGTCTCCTCCTCTTGGCGTCTGCGCACTGCTCTGTGGTGATTGTGGGCAGGGGTCTTGAGGATGAAGTAAACAGTCTTGTGAGTAGGGGTCTTCAAGATGAAGTAAGCAGTCTTCCTCACAGTGTACTTTTCACCTTTGGCGCAGTTGGACCCCCCAGTAATTACACAACCAGCTATATCTGTAATTACTCTGATAACTAGCAAAGATTTAAAACAGTGTGACCTTCCTGCAAAATTTATTGCAGGATGAGCAGACAAGGAGTATCCCAAGCTGGCAGATGTTTGGGATGCTCTGTCTCTAAACTAACTGGTAAGTAGAAGGATGGTGTTTAGGGGGGCCACTAAATCCTGTTATCTCACCACAGACTTACAACACAAACATTGTTCTTTAAAACTAAAGATACTTTAGAAGACTAGTGTGAAACAATTAACTCATGTTTAGTGGGGCCACTACATTCCACAGACTTACAACATAAACATTGTTCTCTTTCTACAACCTAAGTTAAGCTAAAAAGTACTTCATGTTTTCCAGGCACTAGCTTTCCTTATACCAAGCGCCTGCCCTCTTCTTTCTTTTACCTTTACAAATTCTTTTGCTATGTGACTCCGTTGTGATCAAGAGATCTGAACCTTTTTAACTTGTTGTCTAGTCTTGTGTCTTTATCGAGTTTTGTTTCTGTTACTGTAAACTCGTACAGTTATATCCACATAACCACACCTATGATTTGCAAAAGCCAATACATTTATGTGTTTATCACACCGATTTCTTTGTTTCCTTGGTTTGGGTATCTCCATGTCTACAGCCTGACTTCCTGTTGTGACAGCCAGGGCAGGGATGGCATTTACAGCATGCAGTGACCTTGCTGCCATCCTTCTGTTCTGAGGGCAGAGGCCTTTTGACAAATCACCTGTGATATTGATACCGGGAAATAAAGGGTTAACATTGTGCCTGCTTGCTTAAGCAGTCACTGTGCTGGGTGAAGCAGAACCGTAGGAGTCAAAGTTGCTAGAATGCTGAAGCAGAATTGTAGGAGTTACAGCTGCTAGGCAGAATTGTAGTAGATAAGATTCATAGCTTAATATTTAAGACATTCTTGTTCAAATAGTATCTTTAGAAAGCAAAGGAACAAAAGACAGCCAGAGTAACAAAATTTGCAAACTTCACAAGTTTCTGCTTTAAGATACATAGAACCAGCTTGTACCGAACGTGAGGTTTGGACAGGAGCCGAAACCCTATTGAGTCTGTGTGAAAGCAAGAGCTTTCTCGCGGTGATGAAGAGGAACTACAAGCCTTCATCCTCACGACCCCCTAGCGACCCCCACCAGGAGGCACTGCGCAGGGACGAATGCAGAAAACTAATTATAATACTAGACGGGAATAGGTTTTGCATATGTATTAGGCATGAAGCAATCTCATGTTTAGATAAACATTATATGTAATATAAACGAACTGAGTGCCAAAGGGAGGCGCGCATGCTTTTGGAGGAGAAACCCCCATGTGCCTCAGCGCTGAATAAAGCATACCTACTTTACAACTCTAACGAGTTGTGGAGTCAATCCGCATATCAATAGTACAGCCTTATCAGAAGGCAGGCCTTCTGCTCTCAGCTTACACAGCTTTTCTCAGTTTACCAGATTTACTGCTCTCATTTATGCTCATGGTCATTCTTTTAACCCTTGCTTTACTGCACTTATGTTTTTGTTCATGATTCACTTGCATGAACCTGAATTGTTCTCTGGCAGTCTCAGCATCAGCAAAGAGCTCTCTCTACAGAGTCAGTGCAGAGCCATGGGTCTCTATTTACAGAGTTGGTTAGTGTCATCAGGCCCTTGTTTTGCTTTAAAATACACAGACTCATAGACTCAGATAATGGTTTGGGTTCAAAGGGGCTTTAGAGATCATCTGGTTCCACCCTCCCTGCCATGAGCAGGGACATCTTCCACTAGACCAAGTTGCACAAACACCCATCCGGCCTGGCTTTGAACACTGCCAGAGTTGAGGCAGTCACAGCTTCTCTGGGCAACCTGTGCCAGTGCCTCACCACCCTCACAATGAGTAATTTCTTCCTAATACCTAAATGTACTCTCTGATAGTTTAAAGCCATTATCCCTTGTCCCATCACTACTTACAATCTCACACGGCACAGGGAGGCCATGGTTGTGCTTGTGAAAAAGTGCATCCACCCCACAGATCCCAGTAATAGGTACAATTTAATGAGCAAATGTAAAAAATATATTTTAAAGTAGCTTTCTATACTGGTATTAAGTACAAGTTATCCCTGGCTGTATTTGTCCTTTAACTCTGTACGTTAGTTTAGCCGTATCTCCTCGGCAGCAATTTTCAGCAGAGAAGCCCAGCTTAGAGCAGAACCGATTTATTGCTGCTTTTGTTGGCATCACATGCTGACATCATGTTACTTCAGTTGTGAAACTCTACCCTCGGGGCAGCATGTGTTCCACTACAACTGAGCACATCTAAGAGATGACCTAAGACCTAAGCATTCACTCCCTTCCCTTGAGGCAGCAGTTGCATGGAAACTTCTTCATGGGGTGGATCCAGATAAATGTTCATCACCTTTTAGTTTTGGGTGGTTTTTTTTTTGTTGTTGTTGGATGAGGTTTCTGCCAAATTAGCTAGCTGAGACACATCACTGTGATCACGAGAATGCTAGTGGAAAACAGAAGAGATGTGCGTGAAGGCAGGGGAAGGCAGCATTATGGCTGCGCTGATCCAGACTGCGGTAAATCAGTGTGGGATAGCACTTTCCGTGAGAAAACGAAGAGAGCAGTCAGATGAAAGAAAGAAAATGCTAACAAACCTCCAAAATAATTGGAGAGCACATGGAAAAAAATAGTACAAGGCATAGAAAAAGCATGATTATCAGACCAAATTCTGCCCTGTATAGATGAATGCGCCTGTAATGTCTGTTTAAATGACATTTAAACTGAATGCAAATAATAGTATTTAGGTTATTGATTCCATTTTTTTTTTTTCCTACACGTGGTATACTCTTAACTCCCTGAAAATATTTCCAGTACTTAAAGATGGCATCTTCAGTAGTGATTGTACGGGATGTGACCTAAATGACACATATTCTTACATCCACATGCAGCAGCTACACTGATGGTGCTGCTCCTGGTGATGCCCGGCCGAGCTGGTAGACACACAGCACTGTGCTTGCAGTGGCAGCTCCCCAGGCACGCCCTGACGTGGGCACAGTGGAGCTGCGCCCTTTCCAACCTTGGCCTGAGCAGCGGCCTGGTGTGCGGGGTCCAGAGGAGTCCCTAGGGCCCAAAGCACCTTCTCCTCTGCAGAGGTATCTGGCGGAAGGTAGCGCTGAGCACGCCCCGTGCCCAGTCCCGCTGTCTGTCCCCAGCCTGCCACCCTTCCTCGCCTTAACTAACCACCTTAGTTAAGAATGGTGAGGAGCTCAGCTCTGGCCGCCCACCGCTCGCGGGCGACAGCGGCACCCCGCGGGGCTGCCCCTGCCCCGCCGCGTCTCCCGGTCCCGGTCTGCCCGGGAGGATGGTTTGCCCCTCACCCGCCTCCTCCTCCGGTAACTGATGGTTAGACCTTCTACACGGCGTAGCCAGGACAACACGGGTTACTAAGCGACGGCTGATCGCGGAGACGAAGAATGAGACGGAGCGAGACAGGGAGGAAGGGGCAGGGAGAGGCGGCCCGGAAGGTCTACCATTTCCAGCCCCTTCCGGGCCAGCTCTGGGCCTGTCACCGCTCGCCGTAGGGGGCAGCCATTTTACTGAGCAGTGGAAGCGCGGGGCCTTCCTGCTGGCGGCGGCGGCGGCTGCCACAGCGGCTGAGCGGCGGAGACTCACGGGAGGGCACAGTCTTTACGTCTGTGCTGGGAAGCGGAAGAGGCGCCTGTGGTCGCCGCCGCCGCCGTCCCAGCTGGGAGGATGTTTTCGTTCTCAACCGTGCAGCCTCAGGTGAGGTGGCTGGCAGAGCGTAGCGGCCGTGGTCTCGGGCCGTGGCCTTGCGCAGTTCGGCGGGCGTGGGGCTCCCTTCCCAATGGGAGCTCATTTCGCGGCCGGAGGCACTCGGAAGACCCGGGTCTGCGGCCTCGGCTTGAGCCGAGAGCCTGCTGCCACATTTTGGGAGATTTGGAGAGCGTTGAGCGGGTGTGGGGGCCGCGTAGCGA